CGTGTAGCTGCAAAAATTTCTATCCGTCCTCCGCAGACGACCAGTAGCTTTAATTTGCTGATATTCAATCTTGCTTATCATTCCGCATGGAGCACCGGTGTCCAATTCCATTTGGATGGCGGTACCATTTATAGTTGTACTTATCATTCTCTTACATGTTTTCACGTCATTTAATTTATGAATACTCTCCACGAAGTCTATTTCAGTTTCGGGCTCCTCGGTCAGTTGAGATGTTTTCGAATTACACACTCTAGAAATGTGGCCTGTCTTTCCACAACTATAACACGTAGCATTCAAAAATTTAGATCCTTTCCTTTGATGCTGGCCACCACAACCATAACAAACCGTATTCGACCCCTTCTGTTCATTAGTATCTCTCTTGATACGATTGTCACCTTGTCTCATATTAGGGGCGTGCTTTCTCTCGTTCCTTCGTTGTGAAAAAGTACCTACTTTATTCGTGAGGTCAGCAGATTGGGGTAATGTTACTGATGTTTTCATGTCAGTTGTCGTCTGATGAGATGATTCCAAAGCGTGAGCAATTTCGTATGCCTCTCTAAACATAGAAGGTTTCCTCGCAATGATCTCATCACAAATGGGTTGTGATTTCAATCCCACTAAAAATTGTTCAATCAACATTCTGTCAAGGAATTCCGCGTACTCACAGAATGATGTTGCCTGTTTAAGCCTCAAAGCAAAATTTGCCATCGTTTCACCATTTTCCTGCAACGTTCGTCGGAACTTAATGCTTTCTGCGTACTTATTCTTCTCAGCATCGAAATGTGATATCAATGCGTTCTTTAACTCACTGTATGTAGCGTTATCAGGAGATCGTGGGCTCATCAGCACTTTCAAAGCGTTATTCAATTCGGCACCAATATTCACTCTGGCATAATTCGCGTATTCTTCTTCAGGAATCTTGCTTAATTTTAAAGCCCATTCGAGTCTGGTAAAATAATCACATACTGTAATTTCGTCTGTAGATCTATACTCCGAGAAAGAAAATGGTGGTGGCTTTGGATTCGTAGAAATTTGTTGATGTGGGACACTGTTCAATACCGCCTGTGTTGCCTGTTGTACTGCCTGCCGGATAGCATCTGCAATCACATTCGTCAACGGTTCAATTTGTTCAGGATTCATGGTCACTGTGGAATTCGCATTTAGAATCCCACTTCTGACACCACTTTTTAAATATAAAGTCTTGGTTACAACAAAAACAAACTAAAGTACGTTTTATTCAAAAGTTAAAAGTAGAATGATAAAACAAGAATTAACATGAATGAAAATGAACATAAGAAAAAAATGAATGAATGCAAAATAATGTTGTCAATGTATAAAATAAAATAATCGCCAATTCAGTGTCAAATACACAACAACCACTAAGTATTTTCCCGCTGCGATCTGTGCGTCCCTACTGATTTCGTCTAGCCAACATCTTTTGTCTCGACGAGCACTACGTTTCACTTCTCTATCGTGCTCATAGTATCGTATTTGCAGATGTAACTTAACACTACAAACAAGAGTTATATTAAGTTCAGATTTAATATTCTATGTCAGATTTGAAATATATTCACCAGTTTTCGATCTATCAAAAATGTCGTCCAAAATCGGTATTTTGACTGCAGATAAACATGGCTCTATTTTGTGCCAACGCCTTCACTTTTCCCCAACTCTTGTCACTTCGGTTTACATTGGCATCATTCTGTCTATTCCATGTATGATCCGGGCGTCCCCTTCTTTGGTTCCCTTGGGGGTTCCAGTCTATTGCAGTTATGGTGATGTTAGAAGGCCGACTAACGCCTTCTAATGGATGATAAAACAGATAAAACAGTTGAAAGTTTAACAAAATAATTACACCAATATTAGCGCTGAACTAAATAAACATACATACATATTATTTTTCTTAAAAGTTCGTTTTTATTGTCAATAATCTGTTTTAAACAAAAATATAAAATTAAGAAAACCGAATCAGAAAATATTTTATATTAATTGTACAGTGCTGCCAAGTTCAACAAAAAACAGCGCTATAGTTAATGTACTCCCTTATCACAACACTAACTTCCAGGCAGAAGTCCGAGCAGAAACTTAATGCGTAAATTTTATTAGAATATGACGCCAATAGTGTTTAAGATATTTACTGACAGCCAGTAGGCAAGCTTTAACCGAAAACTCTCCCAGAGGTAAGGTTTACATCATATACATAGGTAACAGACCACCCGGGCGTAGTCGGCAACAAAAGAGGGAATGTAATAGCTTTAAAGGGAAGGAAGCTCTAGGTAGTTAACCTGATGTACGCAAAACTATTTGACACAATGAGGGCTGAATTAAAAATATGAGGGATGAATTAAGGTCTATTAGAATAATGAAATGGTAGGATAAACCACAAAGATCCTATGGGGCGACCCTAACGAGAGGAAGACCAGAAGCCTCCTCAAAATGAGCAAGTCCGAGGTTAGTATGATGGTAGGTCTTCTGAGTGGACACACAGGATTACGGACACAGCTATGCAAAATTGGACGTTCAGATTCAGACAAATGTAGAGCTGTAGAAAGGACAGTGAAACTCTGGAGCACTTTCTTTGCCATTGTCAGGCCTTCCCCAAAATTAGATCCAAATATCTTGGGAGTGATATTATTCCGAATATAACATCGCTCACGAACACTGATTGGCAACAGGCTCGATAGAAAACAGGCCTAGGTGTATTTCTTCGGATTTTACATCCTTGTATCCTCCTATCGACCTAACCTAATGTAAATAGGTTTATTATTTGTTTATGAATACCACAGTTTTATGATTGGGTTTTAAGGCTTAATTGCCCTTTAACTATTGTGTGTATTAAATGTTTATAAATAAGAAGGCCTGACACCTATTTACAAATATTTAAGATTATTTCAACGGAATTTTTAATATTTTTGTGGCAAGAAACCCTTTGTTGGGAAGGAAGACAAGAAAACTGTTTACATAACACCTAGAATCCTTAAAATGTATTCGAATAACCTTGCTACTTATCAACATAAATATTTAGGAAATAATGGGTAGACTAGTGAATGTGACACCTGTCACATGAATTCAATAACTAAAATTTTTATATCTGAAAAATCATAATAGCTAGAGTACAAAAAAGTTAGACGAAAAATTAAAATAAGTGGATATGATATATAAGGGTAGCAAAGCAAACTGGGTATATATCTAGATTACAATAACAATTTTTATAAAGAATATATCAAAGCATAATGCAAATTTTATATAAAATAGATGCATTCGACTTCGGAAATTAATGTTACCGTTAATATTTTGAAACTTGATAAACCTTGTAAATAATATTTTAACTTTGACTATTTGAAAAAATCCAATCTTTGGCCCTTGTAAATATTAGAACTAAAAGTTTAGGGGACTAAAGTTTCTCTTTTCTGTCAAGATTTAAGTTGGAAATTTTATATATTAGCTATAAAAAAAGGAAACTGAGAATAATATGTATAATATTACACAGAAAATCCTTTTTTAACACTTTATTTTATGCTAAAATTAAAGTAGAAATGAAAATGTATTTTAACCCTTCGATTTTTAAAGCAACAATAAAGGTCCAAACACATACAATTCTTTACGACGAACTGCGACTGACAGCACGGGTTTACTATATGTGTTTAAATGAGAGCGGTCACAATCAAAACGTCAAACTTGTGCACGATGTACAAAAGTTGAAAAATATTCATCTTTGGCGTACGAAACAGAAGAGAAAGAGAAAATGAAAACAAAAAGAAAACTGTCAAAAATATTGTTTGTCCTTTTTGTTCTGTTTAATTGTGATTTGTGCGTGTGAAAAACACCATTTTTAAATTAAATATTTTTTATATTAAATATTGAATTTTTTATATTATTAAAATATATTTAATTATTATTTCATACTTTATCGGCGCAACGATTGGGCATCTCTTTTTTTACGTTGCGTAGCTGTCGGTCGCAGTTCGTCGCAAAATATTGTATGTGTTTGGACCTTAAAAGCCTAAACCCTAGTTTACCAAAACAGAAAATCCAGTTTCATAATTCCATTCCAGTCAAAAATTATAGATTTTTAACCAACTTCTCATAGAATATCCATTAAGTGGCGTAAAAATTCTTGGACAAGAAAACAACTTACACAAAATCAAACTTAGCACCAATTATAGAAGTAAAGCCTATTACCAAAATCAAAATTAGTAATTTCAGATCGAAATAATCCCAAGTTGTTGAATAATATCGGTTTTAAATTTTTTTGTATTTAACCATAGAAATAAATTTGTATATAATCTACAAAGGATGTATTTATTTATTTTGTTTTCTTTGAAATTTTATTTGAATTTTATACAACATTCTATATTTATTTATTTATTTATGTATTTATTTTATATATTTTTTTCTTTCTTCTTTGTGTTTTCTTTTTCAAACAATTAAGACAAATATAATTTTGTTACCGTTGTTTCATTCTTTTTTTGTTGTTGTGTACTTACATATATCTATTTTATTATATAATAATAAGAATATTTAAATAATGTTTAATATAGATTAAATTTTTAATTTAATACTAACTTAATTACACTATAAATGTTTTTATTTTGTTTTTTGTTTATCGCATATATAGGTATTATATTGGATATATTTATATAGATTTAAAGTCGGTCTATGCTATATTTTAAAGTTTAATTTAATGTTTTTTCGGTTTTTATTTGCTTAACTTGTGTAAATTCTTTATATTCTTAATTATGGAAATAATTGAAAATGTTAGATTAAGGTTAGAGTTTTTTAAACTTAAATACAATTTTTGTTTGATCCTTCAAACAAATACAAATATTTACAAAATTTTTATTCTCAAACAATACTATCGCAGCATTGAAAGTATATGTGGGTGTGTGTCCCTGTGTGTCAATGGGTTTCATACACATGTGTATTTACGACATGTGAATGGAGTGGAAATGAGTGGCTGGATGGATGATTTGGATCCCTTGTATTTTTTTCCTTTTTCATTTTTGTGTAATTTTTCTGTTGTTTTTGTTTTAATTAAAAATCATATCATGCTGTATAGTTTTACTAGTAGTAGTTGTTATTGTTGCTGTCGTTGCTCTTGAGGTTTTAATATAATTTTAGTTTTATTATTTTTCTAACTTTCCTTTGGTACAAACTTATTTGAGTAGAGTTGATATGTCGTCTACTCTTAAGGACTTTTTAGGAGTATGAGTGTGCGTTTGTATTTAGTTAGAAAATCCATCCAGAATCATCATCAAACGAACAAACATACATTGTAAACGTTGAATGTGTGTTTTTCACTTAAGGGCAACAAGTCCATTTCGTTTGTTGTTTTTGGTCCTTTTTTGAAATGTAACATTAAGGTTAAATACCACTGGACATACCAAGTCCTCTTGATCATTATGCTCGTCCTTGGATACTTGCGTAAAGTGTCGTAAGCAAGTACATACATGTTTATGTGTGTGTGTGCGGTTCTGTGAATTTATTCATATTCCTTTGTTGGTATTTTTTGTTGCAGTATCCTTCGCACTCTTCGATTGTTTTCTGTTGCTGATGTCGTTATAGTTATAGTAGTTTAAATAAATTTCCAAGTTTAAAATTATGTTTGATTCTTGTCAGTCACTTGTTTACCTGCTTGTTAATGTTGTATTTTTCTTTTATATTATTTTATTTTAGTTTTTTTCCATCTCTCCATTTACATGCTTCCGACAGTTCATTTTTGTTCGTTTCCTCTTTTTTTTAACAGCACAGCAACACAATGTATTCAAGGTCCTTGTTTAACTCTATTCAACAACTTGATTATATACATACATACGTCTGTCTATTTGCAAGCGTGTGTTTGTGTGGTTATGTGTGTGTGTTTCTATGATGTTATTAGGGCATCCTTGAGTGTATTAGTGCTACTATTGCTACTGCTACTACTGGGGTTGGGACCATTTGCTATGACAGCATTTGTTTGATTTGTTGATGGTGTTGTTTTTGTTGTTATCATGGATGTGTTTGGTGGTGTTTCTGTATCACGCATTGTCAATGCACTTGTATCTTCCATTGCATCCATGGCAACGACTAAATCCTTGTCTTCCTTGGGACTGTGGCAGTGACTGCCGTTCTTACGACTACAGTTTGTGATGTTTTTCTCGCTTTTATTAGAATTGTTGACATTTTTGTTGTTACTGAAGCTGTTGTCACCGATTACCGACATTGTGGATGTCGACGTCGTTGTTTCAGTTGATATTGTTGCAAGATTTGATGTGTTTGCAACAAGTACACCAGAGTATTTAATACCGTTTAATTCAAGGTTAACCATTAACTCTTGTTCGCCATTAGAATTGGTACCTGTAGAGGGGAAAAATAATAAAAATTTAAATTATAAAAAAGTGAATGTATAGCGGATTGTAATCTTTTATAAATAAATATTTAAGATTGCTTCTCCGATATCGAATTTGCAATATCCGTCAACTAAAAGTTTACGATTTGTTATAAAATTCTAACACATACCGTTTCGTGTTACACGAAATTGCATTCCAGATAGTAAGTTCAACGCCTCGAATGGACCCAGCGAGGTAGATTTACCAGTCGTCATATTATCAGCGAGTGTGCCACCGGTGTTAGTGTTCGCCGTTGCAGCATGGTGTTGTTGTTGTGTCTGTTTTGATAAGTGAATTTTCTTAGTGGATACCGGGGAAATGTGGCCATTGCCAGCCGATGCCGCTGAGGTGGAGGGAGAATTTTCAATGGCTGAATCGTCAGACTTATCATTGTGTACACTGCTATTGCTGCCATGGTGTCGTGGTGCTCGGAGTGAACCGCCATTTAAATGCTGGCGTTCATTTGGGTCATCGTGCGAGGAATTTGCTGTTGTATTATGGTCGCCTTCATCGTCATCGTTTTCTTCGTCCGCCTCAGCATCGGAATCGTGCTGGCCACCTTTGTAATGGAAGTTGGCAGCGGCGGCAGCAGCAGCCATGCCACTCATGCCTGGTGGTAAGTAAAAACTGGCAGGAAATCCGGCACGTTTTGCTGGAGGAGGTTGGTGGTGAAAATCATTATGTTCACTCATTTCCGGGCTGGGTTCGCGTTCTCGCTCACGTTTTATTGAGGTGAGATTCGGTGGTGAATCCGACAGGTTTATGGCTTCGCTACTAGAATGAAATTTTTAATTTTGAAGGTGAAAATAAATTCAACATTTTAGTGATTGTTGTCTTTGCTAAGACAGCGGATTTGTAGCTTTTCAACTTACCGTTGAGCATCATGACTGCCGCCACTGTTTGTATTTCCGCTACCACCGCCACCTTGTGGTGAGGTATTCACAGAAGCTGGTGGTGATGTATTGTTTTGATACATTTGCCACAGTGCCACACGTGACATTTCTAAAGCATTCATGCCTGGGTTGCCCTCAGGACTTTGGGATCTCTGACGCTGCTGTTGTTGCTGTAATTGAGACTGCTGTTGATGCTGATGGTGAGGCGAAAGACCCATAGGACCCGAACCGTTGCTCATGGCATTTTGTTCTTTTTTCACTTGAATTAACTTCAAATATTCGATCATACGCTGCTCAATTTCCTGTGTTACCAAATTCGGAACTTGACCAAACGAGGGTGCCATCAGTCTGTGGTGTGCAGCCGCAGCTGCTGCTGCAGCCTGAGCCTGTTGATTGTTAGCCGCATGTGTTACCAAAGCTAATGGGGACATCTGTTGCATGCCGCCTGGCAAAGATTGGCGAGCCATTTGAGGCTGTTCAAAGAGAGGGAGAGAAGGAGTGGGAAAGTCTAAAATTTGTATTGAAAGGTACTTTTATTTATACTAACCATTTGCATTTGATTGTGCATTGCTTCATATTGACCATAACTGGAACGACGTCCTTCCCGACGGTTTCCATCAATAGCAGCTTGTAGTTCTGCTGGAGTGCTTAAATTCTTCTTCTCACATTCATAGGGATACAAATATTTCATATATCTGTAATTCAAATTTAAAAATAAAACATAAATGAACAAATGGACATTTTTAAGCTGCAAAAACTTTTTAAATTAACTAATAAAAGTGCATATTTTAAGATATTTTTTTTTAAATTTAATCGAAAATTAATAATGGAAATTATTTAAAAGATTTTGTTTATAAAAACTGTCAAATCGGCACAAGTCTGATGCAAGAAGCATTTTTTATCATTGTCAGTCTATTGGTACGTGCGTATGCCTGATAAAATACCACCTGTAGCGTTTTTTTTTTTTTGCAAACACAAATAAAAATCTTTCATCTCTGCATTTTTTATAAGTTAATGATCATAGCAAATGTGTATAAACAAGCGGGAGAAGTCGAGAAGTTTTAACATGTTTTCTACTTTCATTGGTCGCATATTTAAAGTAATTTATTCTTCAAATATTTTTATAAAATGAAATGTTTGGATTGATTTGAAATTTTATATATTTTTTTATTTTGTTTTTTATATTTAAACAAGATTCCCTACGCCAGGGGGCTAGGGTCAATAGATATACATACATATATTTTTAAAACTAAAGAAATTAGTTCAAAAAAAAAATTTTATTAAATTATTATTCTATGAGTGAATTCTTTGGCGGTCCTGACATATACAATTATTGAAGGTATGTAAATTTGTTGTTGGTTCTTTCTTTGTTTTTGTTAATATTTTATTATTTGCTTTGCTTTTGGTTTTTGTTTATAATTCATCAACGCATACATGCAATATTTTGCATTTAATTTAATAAACACTTAAGAACTCAATCAATAAATGTATGTACATATTTATGTATGCATTTGTGTGTATGGAAATGTATCTATAAACATATCTACATGTGTGTGTGCATGCATGACTGTATGTATGTTGTACGTTAAAACTATGTATTTAATTTCTTTATATATTCATATAATGGTTATTTGTAAAACAAAAAAACCAAGATTCATTTAAGTCTTAAGATGTTGTTTTACTGTTTGTCTGTCTGTTAGTCGGTTCATTTGTTCGTTCAATGAGTACGTATGTAGATACGTACCTTTTGCATCATTATCCTTTGTGTCTGGTTGTGTAATGCATGTGTATTTATTTTTGTATGTTTTTTTTTAATATTTGTGAGAATGTTGTTTGTTCATGACTACACTTTCTGTGAATTATCAAGTAAACATAACAGTTGAAAAGGAAGATTTTTCTTTAACTCTTTTTATATTAACACCAAAATACTGCACAATGGTACCAAATCAAATAATATGGTATACATTTCGAATTTGTTCATATTTATTTAGATATTTAAGAATCTGTTCAACTCCCAAAAACATTACATCTCATATCTCCTCACTATAACTCGTTGCAGTTTGAGAATTAAACCTTTTCATACTTATTTCTTTATTTCCCAGTCTCCCAGTATATATAATATGAATAATTTGAATTTTTTTAACTTTTTACCACAGTGCAATGTGAGACATGATGCTAATTATTATAAGCATGATTACGAACATTCATTGCAAGTTACATACATAAATACAAACTAGAAAATAAGCAAAAACTGGCCGCTCGTTTGCAAGAAGACTGACACAATTCAAAAAGGTAATTTGGATTAAAAAGACGTTATTTTGAGTTATGACAGTTTTATAGTATATAACGGTATGTATATAAATTATAAATTATTATATTCGAGTTCGAAATGATGAAAACATAATTTTTATCAAATTTTGATACAAACAATAATTTGTTTGGGGAAATGTAAAAGTTGTTTTATAATTTGCAGGCAACGGAGTTTTGATACAGAAGACTGAACTAAGAAACTTTATAGCTAAAGCAATAAATATCATTGTATTATTGCATTTTCATTAGCATTCTAGTTTGTAATTCAATTAACACAATTTTAAGTCAATATGAAATGCTAAGAGTAATACATTTCTTTTTTATAGATTTTGTTTTATAATAGTCAACTAGAATTCAGAAATATTTGCTAGAGAAATCAAATAAAACATATGTACATTAATATGAAAATATAATACAGGTGCCCCTTGGTAATATTTAAGTGGACACACAATTTTAAATACACACACATACACGCAATCACAGATGCAATTAATAGCTTTAGCAAAAACAACAAATATTTTTCTAAAATCGAATACAATTTTTCAAATAACTAAATAATAAACGTTCATTTGTTTGTTTATTAAGTTGATTTTTGTTCGTTCTTTTGTACATTTCTATTGTTTGTGGTAAAAGTGTCTAGATAAAAAAGTCTTGAAAGGTATAAATAATTTAACCATTACATCTTACCAACCAAGATCATTACAACGCATCATTGCCATCATTGTCGTTGTTGTCATCATTATCATCTTATTAGCATTTTGTTGTGTCACTTTATTTTTTATTTCATTCGAGTACAATGAATTTCATTTGAATTTTCAAGTATATTAGTGTATATGAGAGGGTGTGTATATATGTGTGTGCAACATCACCGTGCAACAGTACATACATACATACGTACATACATATATACATATGTATGTACATATGTTTGTGTGAATAGTATAAATATTAGTTGTAATGTTGATTTAGGCATGTCTACGAATGATGATAAATTTATGTATTTTTTTATTTACCATAAAAAAAGTTAAATAAAATTCTTATGAAAATTATTTTTTAAATTGTTGTTTTTAATGCATGCAACTGGCAGTGACGCTTAATATCAAAGAGTTAAGTGCACATATACTTATAGTTCTTACACATACACATTCTAATTTATTGTAATAGAATTTAAAAATAATATCTATTCAATTAGGCTGGGTTTTAAAAACAAAATTAATATTTTGTAATTTCATTAAATGTAGACTCAATCCTAATTTCAACGCTTACAATTTTATAATATAATTTTTAACTGAACCTACAACTATACACATAACTTCGTAATTCTGAAATTGAGTGCTATTATTAAATCATATATTGAAAATGCTTGAATTTGTAACATAATTTTATCTAGTCCTCACACGAGTGTTCTTCCGAAATATTTATCGATTGAATACATTTATATTAATTATGTAGCTATAATGATAGTCAGATTCCATAGGCCAAGCCCCCACACAGAGAATATTAAGTAATAACGCCCATAATATACATACGCTTGAAAGTTAAACGATAAATAAGAAACAAATAGTTTTACCATAATCACTATACAATTAGAAGTCCTAAAATACGGTATAAATTTTGTCCCAATAAATTTCTAAAAATATTGATACATATTTCAAATATGCACTCAAGTTTTATAAATAAAATTTGTATGCATAAAATGTATGTCCGTTTATACCATGATCTACCAGTAAGTGGAATTACACTTACAGTAATATTATTATTTAACACCTTTATTAAGAGCTAAAAAAGGCTAAATACTAAAGATAAAATGTTTTCATTCCATTAGCCTCAAGAAAATGTGTATGAACCAGTGCATTATACGAAATACGATGTATGGATGGTAAAACGTGAACTGGAATATATTCCAGTGTAAAATGAATTTAAATAACTGGCACTGGGACTATTCAATGTTTAAGTTCAATTCATCATTGTTCAATTCATCATTGTACAAGTTCAAAACAAAAACGGTGAGAAACTATTTACGAGTGTGTATAGTATTGTTATAAAATACATACATTATTACAATATGTAGTATATGTATATTATGGTATGATACTTACATACTACACGTATTCAATAAATCAATAGTCACGTACATGAACTCGTACAACCCAGCAGTTCGGAGAGATTGTCGCAATTTAGTTAATTACTTCTCCCCGATAAGAGAACCCCTAATTACAGAATTAATTATAAGACTACTTATTTAACAAGTGCATATGTCAAATGGAAGTCAATTGACCCTAGACTGATTAAAATCACAATTCGATAGTAAATGAGCATTTAAATCTGCAAGATTATAATTCTGGAACGTAAAATGGTAGTACTCTCTAAAAGTTTCAGTTCTAGATTATTTAGTAATAAAAGAGACGGACGGATTTTTTCCCTCACAAACTGACTTCAAGGAGTACAATTTCTAAAATACAAGTACTTAATACCTAAAGAATCTAAATTGACGATTGATTTTCTGCCAGATTATGAGTCAAAAATATACATACATATGAATTCAAGTTAACCGAGACATTTGGCGATAAAACTGATAGAGTAAATGGGGTTAAACTGCTGGGATACAATAAATATACATATGCATGAATGTACCTATGAGTGTATGTATGTATGTAGGTATTTAATTTGTATTTAACAAATAAACTTGTTATTCAGTGAATCAAGCACAGCTATTGGTGGTTGGTTGGTTATTGTAACACACGTAAATAAAATGAGTACAATAACATTATGCTCGTAATTGTATTCATGAATGTATTTGTGTTTTGAAAAAAAAAAAAATACAAAACAAATGTGAATGTATGAACGCGAATAGAAAAATTAAAATAAATGTTTAAATGAAAGTATATAATATAATTAATTTTATGAACGCCATTTTTATTTACATACAAAGCTAAATTTTGATTTGACGATTTAGTTGTATTTTTCAAAAAACAGCTAAACTTTTGTATAGACGCGCAAGTCCGCAATGTTGTTTTTACATAAATCCACTATTAAAGAAAACTAAAATTAGTGTTCGTATTAAGGTTTGCTTAAATCTAAACCTCATATCTGCTAGCGTATACTTCTCGTCAAGTCATTGACACATACCACCAACTAGTGCTAAACTAGACAATCAGCCATCCGAAAAACTGCCTATCAAAAAAAAAAAAAACAGAAAAACAGAAACCAACAACCGACCGACCACCTCTGATATTTTCCAGTGTTATTATTACACCGTTACTACCACTTTTTCCATGGAGAATCGACAAAAAACTAAAGTTCATATTTCCTCTTTCTTTTTTTTTTTTGCTCATTTATTGTTTTGTTCGTTTTCTGGGTGTTGGTCTAAGTTATAGACCGAGACATAGAGACGCATAAAAATCGAGTTTGAAACATGATTGACTGGCTGACAAACTGATGGCGGACCTTAAAATTTATAAAACATAACAACAACTACTACTACTACTACCACAAAACATATTCAAACGCACACGAGATTTAAAATTTATTAATATTGTGTTTCTTTTTACAAAGTTGCTTTAGTACAGCAAAAAAGCGAAATAAACTATAAATTATGAATTAAATTTTATTATTTTTAATATTTGGTAAAAGCAAAAACTGTGCTACAAAATAAAAAGAAAAATATAAACAGAAATTATGAAAATAATCAATAATAACGCGCAATAATAGTTGAACGTGGTTATAGCAACCATTTCAAAATTACAATAATATTTTGATCACACTTTTAGTTATCGCAACCATAAGCCTACTTTTTTATTAAAGTTGTGATACTTTGAAAGTTCTGCTTTGTCAATAATAACGACGACGACAACAGTAATATAAACTAAATAATAATAACAACATTCTCCAGTAGATCCTTTATTTGCCAAAGATTTGTTTTATTGTTACAGCAAAAGAGTTTAGTACAATGTATGATAGTTGCCAACAATTTAGTTGTTGCTGCTGTTTTTGCTATAACCTTTTTATTATTTTACATTTTTATTGTTGTTAGACAATAAACGTCTGTTTAAAAACTAATTTCATTGTGGTTTGTCATAATCTGCCATCTTTTCATATTTTTTACATGAAATACAACAATATTATTATTTTTTTCTGGATTTGCATTTTGTTCATGTAAAACTAAATGTTGAGTTTGTATGTAAGTTTTTCTATTTTAGTATTGTTGTTGCTGTTTAAATACTAAAATATGTAGTAAAATTGTTTGATGTGGAAAATTTGCCCATTATTTAATAAATTTTACTGTCATTTATTTAGTACAAGTAACTATGTTTTTAAGTACATATATATGTACGTATGTAGATATACACACATACGAGTATAGAAAATAAGACTTACTGTGTTCGTAGTGTGAACGCTGCACTTGTTATACTAGATGGCAGATGAAGTCCCTTTATGATTTCCTGCCATAGCTTTTTGTTAATAACATCGACGAGACCTCCTCGGGCAATCACTAAATTATACAGTTCATAAAGATCCAATACAGATTTAGCCATTATTGGTAAACGATTAATGGGTGTGCCTAGAAAATTTTAAAGAAATACAAAATATTAAATAATTGCAAATATATTGATATTGGGAAATATACTCATTTCATATCATAAAAAAATTTACTCATTCTCATAAAGTAATAATATTTCTTAAATTCAAATAAACATATTGTATATATAATCAGAGATCTGACGGATATTGTAAAATTTGAGGATCAAACTTCCCACGGAGTAGGTTTTCTTTTCGCCAAAATATTATTCAAAAGTAATACGTATAATTTATAACTTTTATAAATTAAAAACGTTTTTAAATTAATCATTTCATTTGTATGTATGTAGTTAAATATACATACATATGTATACAGAAAATATTTAATACCAAACAAAATGAAAAGAGTATAAATTATCAGAGAAACATTAAAAAACAATTTAATGATCTTAAGTAGATCTTTAAACACCCTCACACATTATTGCCTACAACAACAAGAACAACAATAATAATGGCAATAAACTAAATCGATAAACAATAAAACGAACAAAAAAACATCAACAACAAATTAATGAAAAGAAAACAGAAACAATTTATAATAAACAAAAAAAGGTAATTTGTAGTTTCATTATGTTAAACGTTTTTTTTTTTTTCTTAAAATTTTTATTAGTTGCATTTTATTTCATTTGATTTTTACAAATGAAATGAAACGTTTGCAGGCAGATCAGGGATCTTGCCGTTGTTGTTGGTGCAACATTTATGTTTATGTTTTTTTTTTTGTCTTTTCGATCTGTTTTTTTGGCATCGCTCAAAATATTTAGTGAGTTGTGATCTACTTAAATCGTACAAGTATAAACAACAATAATATTGCAAGAGTGTTTGTGTGTGGCAGTTTGAATCGTTCGATCGATGGATGAATGTATCTTGACGTGATATGTACTACTCGTGCTATATGTTGTTTGTGTTGTTTTTAGAGTTGGCCCTAAAGGTATCAATCAAAATATGTTTGTAGATCATACACACTTACATATACATACATACATGTGAATGTTAATATGAAAATAAATCAATGAGTAAAAATATCTACATGTGTGAGGTGCATATAAAGATCATACAAAATATTTATTTATGATGAATAACTGAAACTGAAATAGCAAGGTTGATGGACATGTTGATTGTTGTACTCAGAAACTCCAAAAAATATAAAGAAATAATTTTTATAAAAAGTTCATTTGTGCAGCAACAAATGTATTTTAAACAAAACACTCGCACATTACAATACTGAAATAAACAAAAAACAATTAACAACAATCAATTGCTGGCAATCGTAAAAACAGTAAATAATTAAATATTTAATCATTCGATTTTATTTTAATGATCTTAAATAAAAGAAGGTTTGAGTAATTGTATACATATTATAATGATCTGCATTTCAATGCATATAAGAAAATATAACAATTAATTGTATATTATTTATTAGTTTTCCATAATAATTTCGTTTATGAAGCGGACCATTAGAATTCCGGTAAACTTTCCGACCATATTTTAATACTTTGGAATATCCAAAAATACATGTCCTACACCTTAAAGTAAAGTCGATTTAGCTATGTCTATCCGACCTGTGTGTGTGTATGTCCATGTACCTAAGCATTGTACTCATTTTCAAGATAATTTGATGGCATATATTCTTCTTTGACCCAAGGACGAAGCCTATTGAAAATGGTTTAAAACGGCCCATTATTTTGACTAGCTCCGATACAACCGTAGCCCCCTAATAGGGATTTTGAGCTCATAATTATGTTCTAGTATATCTAAACAAATCTGTAAAGTGTAAGTGTAAAAGATACTGCCAATTTTCGTAATGATCGGGTCACATTTGACCCAAACAAAGTCGCCTTCTGAAAATGACTTGAATGTCAAAATTCACTTATAAACACTAATATTACGATGAAATTCTGTATAAATAACTTTAATGTAGACGTAAAGCCCTCTACCAAAATTTATAAGTATAGGCCCGTATGTACCCTTGCGCTCATATAACCCCTCCTTTAGAAAATCTCTTTTTCAATGCTCTACTATACATTCTTACTTGTTTTAATTCGAATTTAATAAAAATTCGTATACATATCCATATGTAATATATTTCTCCATTCATAGATGGCGCTGACGCTGACCAAGACTATTTTAAATTGAATTCGCCTTAAAATCCACTTGGAAATCTTGTATATTCGATCAAAGATGTCAGTGTTCTTAATATAACTTTAGCATTAGCGGTAGTTATTTAGGATTATTTCTGTAACGTTGAAAAGGCAAAAAAGAAATATTAACCGTAACGATAGCTTAAAAGTAGCCAATCTTGAATTGGACTGAAAAAAGTTTTTTTCACCACTTCTAATGAAGTGTAATGTTTAATGGAGTATGTTTTTTTCCTATATTTGGATTAGACTAGTCCCAGTCTTTTGAGTACACGCGTGTGCGGAGTAGTGTCAATTTTTGCAGGGTAATAATTATAATTGAAATTAAAACAATTACTAAATTTCGTGTAAATATTTTAGAAATTGAGAAAGAACCTGGTAAAGGTATCAATATTTTTCCATTTTACAAACTATACAATTATTGTTTAATTAATAGTGTATTATAATACCAACAAAAAAGCCATAATATGGTATTTTTTATATGTTTGACATTTTTTTGTGTGACATTTAATCACTGGTAGAAGACTTTGATGACTTTTTCACAAGGGTCGCAGAAGTACATTCGCTAGTATTTTATATTTTTGTGTATGTGTCCTTCTGTATTTGGTTACGTCAAGAATATCAGTACCGTTTCCATCCACAATTGCAGAAGTACAAACAACCAAAATAAATAAAATCAATGAAATTTAATACACTAAATAACATAACTTAAAAAAAAAAAACGACTCAACTAAAAGGGGGTCTTACACACATTCGTTAATATTATAATTTATTTGTAGGAACGAGGTGTTTTTATTTTAATTTAACATTAATTTTTGTTCTTTAAGTATTTTGTGTTCATGTTCACACAGAACTAAAACACCCAGACACAATCAGTCAGACATTAATGTGTCACTTCAATCATTATTTTATTGAAAAGGAACCAACAAAAAAATATAAAAAAAAATAATAATCGCCATCAGAGCAGCGGCAGGAGTAATTGTGTGATCGTGAAACATCGCGTCAACATTACACTATCGGCAACAAGATGTGAAACATGTGTTTTATTCATGCATTCATTCAAATTAATTTCTTCTTGCAGCATACATACAATTACGATTTTTACATCTACATGGATAGATATTAATACTAAAGCCACAAGAAAAATTAAGAAATATTATATTAATAAGAATAGATATTTATATATGAACGTGCGTATGTATGTATGTCACACACTAATGGCGGATTTATAAAGAAAATGTTGTTACGATTCAATGAATTGTCAAAATGTCATTATATTTTGTAATTTGATTGATATAAAGAATAATTTTTTTTAGTTCTAGCAACCATAAAATATTTTTTGTTTTAGGTTGCACTTAAAATTGTATGTATTATTTTAATTACTGTTTTTATTCTTTCTTTTACGTTTGTATCTATGAATATCTATGAATGTGTGTATGTAAATTATGAGTTTATATTTATTTAGGAATTTATTAAAAGAAAAAAATCTTCCTTAAATGCATCAAATGTCATAAAGAATATTAGTTTTTTAATATGAAAACATTTTGAAATTAACATTTATGAGGTGACAGATTTTGTCACATGGTCTGATGGATACAATATTGAATAATGAAAATGTGAATGTGATGTATAAAGTGATATTTTTTAAATTATGTATGTTTATTAATTTTACATGGGGCAACATAAATAATGATAAATTTTAATAATAAATATTCGATTTTAATTTCTCGGTACAAGAAATAATGATGTTTTAGTTTAAAAACTACTATGGCTACTCGACATATAATTTTTTTTATGCATGCACATGTACTATCTTTTTGAATTAATTTTTGTTAGAAACCCCTTTTTATTTAATTTTTATATAAAAATATTCTTTTTAACTCTCAATGACTTTGCAACAATTTAACCTTCAACAGTAGCTCAAATAAATCAATAAAATTGTATGCAAATTGTAATGGAATATTTTCATATAAAAATACATTTTAATAATCAGTAAATGAAATGAGCTGCAATGTCACGTTCAAAATACATCATTATAAAACACTTAAAATTAAAAATGAAAAAATTAAATTTATTTCTTTTCCTCTTTAACTGACTAAAATATTTTTAAAAATCTTAAAATTATGTATTTATTTATTTTATTTTTTTGTGTGTTTTTGTTTCACATTTACGAAATGAACAATAACGTTCATTTGACATTTAATTAACATAATTTTTATTATTAAAAGCATCTCAAAAGAGAAATAACAACAACAACAATCATGTGTTTCTGTTTGTACATTGGAAATTATTTTAATTTGAAATGCCACCGAATGAATGCTTCTTGCAGCATCCAACCGTATTTCAAAAATCAAAATAACGAAGTATAAATATATGTCTACTAGTGTGAGTTCGTTGGGCAATAAAAACGAATTCAATGACGGACAGACGAACCGACAGACAAAAAGAGAAACAAATGAATGACTTTAGAAGTGACGAATCGTTCAAGTGTTGATCATGTCATTAGCAATCATGTTGACGTTGATGTGCTTGAGATTTTAATGAAAATGTTCATTTCATTTTCCCCCCAAAGTAGGAATGAATATATGTCCACATTAGACGGACTAAACGTACAGGAAAGAAAGAGAAATCCAAATAGTAATAATTAAAATAATAAAAACAAAAACAAAAAAAGGAAAACTCAGCATGTGCAGATGTTGCTGATGATGATCATCATTATAATCTTGTAAGAATTTTTGTACGTTAGTACTTATTTCTACATATGTAAATAAAATGAACCAGAAGTTGGACTTATAAAAGTAAAATCCCAAAAGAAAAAAAATAGTATTTTATATTCTACATTTTATATGGCTTAGGCTTAAGTCTTAAAGCACCAGTCGTACGTTTGAGTTTTAAGTACTAAATAAAATAACAGAAATTTGGATTGAGATAAAAGTACTTAACATCACTGATCATTTATGCGGTTTATTATTCATTTATTTTGTTTGTTTTTTGTGGAATGAATAAATGTTGTTTTTGTTTAATGTAAAACAACAGTAATATTTAATGCATTTATAAATAATTTTATGGCCAGTCATAATACTCATAATAAAAATGCATGAAATGTATAATGAGACAGACGCCTTTAAATAAACATTTTCCTCGATCATTCCTAAATTCAATGTTTTGGCAGGGAAGCCAAAACATTGACAATAAAAACAACATTCTTCCTCTCCCCCCTCCGTTTATTTGATGGCATTGAAATTATTAATAATATCAAAAATAAACAAAATATTTATTTATTAGAAACTTACCTCTCTTTTGCATAAATGAAAATAGATCATCAAGGAACTCTTTACGTTTGGGATCATCATTGATCTCATATAGCTGTAATTAAAACAAAATAAGAAAAGAATAAATAATTATTGTATAAATGAATAAAGATCAATATGTATTGTATTAAAGGTTAAAGATGGAGAACCATATACACTCGATTACAACAGAGAAATAATAAATATTATTTTTTTCCGACCCTCCACAAGTCAATAAGGTACAAAATGGTATAGATGTTTATTTAAAGTACACAATAGTACTATTATTATCATTATTAACCCTCAAGTGTCAGCGTGCGCCAGTTCTGTACATCGAGTACAAAAACGGTAAATCAATGAATTGACAAAGATACGAATGAAACAACAGCAAAAACAATAAAAGGTAATTTGTTGTATCTACCTATCTTTCGGGGAGCTAAACACTCATAACGATCACAACAACCAAAATAACAAAAGAAAAAAAACGACAACAACCCGCAAATTTCATGACAAGATATTTATTTTGTGCCCAAAAGACAAGATCATTATCGAACAGAGTCTGATGTATACCGACGTCAGTTTAGCACCACGGTAGCGCAGGGGTTTGTATTTTTAATCTTGTTTTTCTGTTTTATACTGCTCACAGGGTGGTAGTTGTGATGATGATGATAATGTTTGGTATTGGTGGTTAGAATGGCAAAGATATAGACTAAGATAGACAGAGACAGAGAGCGAGGAAAACAGAGATCATTGGTGGTTGTCAACATATTGTAGATTTTTACCTTTGTATACGAGTAACTAGTAATTATCCGTAAAAAAGGTGTGGAAACATAAATGATTTTTAATTTGTTGTGATATTTTCTTTTCACACAAACAAAACTAATAACAACATTGTGAATACATCTAATTAAGGGTGGTATTACCAAGGATTATACTTATAATTGAAAAGAAGAAAAGGATCACCTACTTTAGTGTCAGTTATGACACTAATCAAATGATCTGCTTGTTCCGACACACACATGCTTTGGAGAGATGGTAGTTGGCAAACAAACCGATCGTACATAAACGTAAATAAATAGTTGTACTTAACAAAACAAAAACAAAAAGTAAGACAAAAATATTTTCGAAAATCATTAATTTGTCTCAATTATGTGTTAAAACTGCAAATTATGGTCATAACGTGTGCTTAGCTACCGGTTATAAAATAAATGTTGTTTGCTGCAACACGCACATCATCATCTGACTCCGACTATAGAGTATTTAAACGAGTGTAATTTGAAGCTGAATGCTACAAGTAAATATATATTTTGATGAACCCTGTAATCAAAAAAAAAAAAACTCCTGAGTTTACTCATTCGCTAAACAAATAAAAACAAATATTTGTATGTCTTTATAAACGATCTCATGAAAAACTGTCCATACGTAAGTATTAAATTATGTGCATTTATATACACATGCATATATTGCTAAAAATTTGGGTATGAAAAAACCAATGTCCTTTTTTAGACTGTAGACCTACTTCTGGGGGACCTACTTTGGGGGTTTTAATTAGGTTGCCGGTACATCAAGTACTTATATTGCCAGGTTATATCGTGAGTATTCTATGGGTTCCACCAGTTAAAAACATAACCTCACTATAAGGTAAAACGAAAGCACGCGTTTAATGAAGACAACGCATAACTTAGAAACAGTTATACGTAATTCTGTCGAAAACTCGGCAACAAGCACAAGACTGATCGACCTTAAGAAATAAAAACAATGACGCGAGAGTTGTTCCCCAACTCAGACCTGAATTACATCTGTTGTTGTATTTTAGCATAAAAATAAAGAAAACATTAACTTCGTTATATAAAACGTTCTGTTAGGTCGAATTCGTTGAAAATGGATAAACATTTAAAAGCTCGCATTCACGACTTTACACCATAACAATACATCAGTGTTTGAGGGCACATAAAATGATCAGAACTCATATTGTTCTCTCAATAGATCTAACCAAATTGTAAAAGAAACTTTATCCAAAAGTTGTAGAACGCGAACACCCAGAATAAAAAACAAATTTTGGTTCATCATAGGTAAATTTGGAGAAGATTAATAACATCGAATTTGCAAAACCTATCAGCCAATGTATGACAAATACAAATTTGTAAAAATTATCTTATTTAATTTCTTAAAAAATTAATGGAGAAATTAACGGATAACTTACATATTTGAGATATACACATGTATATATGTATATAGTCTTTTATTATATCCGAATAACAATTTAAAATTGAGAGTTATTGAAAACTAATATTGATAATGCGACTCTATGTTCTACTGGGAATTAAAGGACTATGAGGATTCTTTATAGGAATTTAATTAAACATTAAATTTCAAATGCAATTAAGTGAAACATATTTTTTTGTTTTTCATATTAAATATTTATACAAATATTTTTATGATTAATATACTCGTAAACTTGTACACAGGTGATATATACACACACACACATACATAGGTGGAGGAACGCATGAGTAAAATGAATTTATTACTACTTATACATAAGTATGTACATAAGTAATACAAAAAAGTCTGTACGTACATACATATTTATTTAAGCATACCCTGTAGTTCTAGTGGCACTCCTTGGCTTAGTGATTTTTCCTAAAGTTTAAGGTCTAAGGTTTAAATAAGATTACATGATATAATAAATTGTGTAAAAGTTTAAAGTGATTACGTCATAGATTACACAGGTACGCTAAAATGACAGTTAACTCCCCCAAAATAACAATGTTGGGCACAAAATTGCATTATAAATGAATTAAAAAAATATATAACAATAACCCATCAAATATAACGAAAATATTCCATTGACACTTTGTTAAGATTCCCCTTCTGAATTAATAAACTTGTTGTTTACTGGGTGGTTTTTTCAATACAAATAAAACAAAACTCAATTTAAATTTTATGAGCTCGCGGCATGCATCACCATTATTATTATTTTTTTAATGTACCACCAACACCACTACCAGTCAGTCATCATCGTGAGTGATACTCGTTGGTTGCACTACCCCAAAAACCAAAAACGAAAAGTTTAAAGTTTGGTCTGATTCTTTAGCGATCTAATAAAGGTAAAACTGTATACATATGTATATATGTATGTAAGTATGTGTGTATAGGTTTTAAACATTTAAGTACCATGTTTACGAAGTCTTTACTCGTACCTTGTTTCTGTTAAAGTTCATTTTTCAATTCATTTTAGTTGAATTTAGTTTTCTTTCTTTCTGCTTTTCGCTAAATACACAGATACATTTATGGTGTATCTAAATACAAATATGGTTACAAGTAGGGGCCATCCATACAATCCATCCATATGGTCATGATAAATGAAATAAATATGAAAGAGATTCTACTCTAATGCAAAAGTCAAACTTTTTTATAGTTTCTTTTTTATTTGTTATTGTATATTTATTTAATATTTATAATGCCTTTGGGAGGAGCAACACTTACTTTTAGAAATCTACAATGAATTAATGTAGAAAAAAGGTACTCATATGAATGAACTTAAGTCTGGAATAAAAAGGCATTTATCGAATCTTAGGTCTTCTTAAAACAATACAAAAATTTTTGGTATTAGAATACGATTATTATTCCTGAAACAAACTCTAGCTGCTTTTCGACTTGAGAATCAAATGCTATTAACTGTGTGTGGATGAGCATTTTTGGATAAAAAAAGTAATAATTTGCAGTGTAAATTAATTATAAAATGAAGGCTAAACTTTAATATAATTTGACTATAAATATTAGGAAGTAACTGAGAAAGAAAGAAAATGTGTCAATTAAACTCCTTGTAGGAAGTCTACTTCATATAAACAGTAAAATTTATAAGCGATCCCTAACTGAAGAAAAATCTTTCGTGGCTCTAATTCCCTAGTGTTATATTGACGAAAATATTTGGATTTGTTTTCTCTATTTCAGGTAAAACAATGATCTACGAATGGGCAGGATCAACTGCATAAGTTAATTAATGGCAAAACTACAATGAGAATTTGTACTGGTGTCTAGAGTCAGTTGTTTTTAGTGGGATAGAAATGTGCAATATTATTTCATGAGCCTTAATATAAGTTTATGATTGAAGATTTTAACTCCTTCTTGAAAAAAGTTTGTGTTTTCTTGATTTTTTTGTTTGTAGTCATTTTGAAGAATTTTTTAAATGTATTAAATAATGAAAAATAAAATGCCAAGTTTTTATACTTTTGTTTTTTTCTTCATTTTATGATATATTTATGTTGTTGTTGTTGTAATAAAATGAATGTTGCAAAAATGATGAATGTACGTGTGCAGCAAGTAGTGTGTTGCATAAAACGTTGTTTATTTTGAACATCAACAGATTTGATGAATGCAACAAATACTCTTCTCGTATTATGTGATGTCTACTACGATGGAGTAAAGAAGTAAAATAAAATGTAACGTAAATATGTATGTATGAGAGTGAATGAGCGGGTCCAGATAGACGGACAGACTATCTGGTTGGATGCAAGTAAGTTCACATATGTTGGGGCGTTTGTTATGACTTGTTGAGTTCTTTTCTTTTAAATTTTTTGTTCATTTTTATTTAAAAATTTCGCATTATTTTGTTTTTTTTTTTATTATTATTTCCATAAGTTTGTATGTGTGTGATTAACCGTTGCACTTTTGTGTTGTAGGCGTAACACTTTGATATCAATCAAAACAAGTATCCTGGGACTATAAAGTGGAGTTATGTTCTTTCTTTTGTTTTTATGTTAAAGTTTTTTTTTAATCATTAAGTTTCCAGAAATCCAACAAAATGAGCTTTTTAAGCTCTTATGAATGTAATGAATGTTGTATTAACACCAGCTTTAATTACCTCTTGAATTTGATCCTCAGAAATCAACATTTTGAATAATTTATTTGTTGTTGCTTTTATTTATTCGTTTCTTATAATAGCTTTTCACTTTAATTTATTTCGAATTAAGATTGTTTTCACTTAAAATTTTTTTATTTACTTATTTTTTTTGTTTAAATTTATTCTCATATTTGTGTGTTAATGAATTTCTAATTATATTTATTTGTACA